CCCCAAAACCCCAAAACCCCAAAACCCCATTCTTAAGGATCAGCCCATTAATTAGTATATTTATAATTGATTAGTCAATTAAACTGTATATTTATAAACTTAGATTATAAAATCATGATAAATAAAGTCAATTTAATGGTGTATCCAGGAGGAAAAATAATACTCGGAATAACTTTTTTACTTATGTTTAGCTTTAACATGTGCGCAAATTAAGATAACTACTCTCTAAAAGTTAAAGCTAAATTATCTAATCATACTGTATGCTTCGACAATCCACTTTATGGCACTGATCCAAAGAAATATGGATATTATGATTTTTGGATAAGATTAAATCCTAATGAAAACTTTATGATGTACGATTGGCAAGAAATACTAAAATTCTAATTTTCTGGATCTGGTTCACATAACGTAGTCTTTTATAGCTAGAGATACTTCTAGGATAATTGGTATTAAGATTTCTTCGGTGAGTGGTATATGGTTACAAGATATTATTGGAATTATCACCTTTGTGAATAATAATAATGGTATTAATATTCTGCTTATTAGATTTCACACAATTGGGTCAATATTGTCATCGGATTTTCTCCATAAAACTAGAACTGGGTAAAATTTCTTCAATAATTTTAAGTTTAGATTGTATCCATAGATAGAGCCATACAAAATCCAAAAATGAATGGATATTACAATCATCCTAAATCTATATGTATGTTTAAACTAAGAGTAAACGACCCCTCAACTTATGTTCAATTAAACTAATTCAAATTTTGGAGCTTCTCTCCCACATAACTCACAAATAACTTTAATGGGTTCGATGATTTTCTAGAAAGATACTACGGCTAGTCTTTTAAATACTACAATTTTACTTTGCCACCATCTTTAGTTGAATACTTTAGTCCAAAGCCTTAAGGTAGCTCTAATACTTGGGTATCAAGCATGACTGGTAATTACAAAGGATATTTGCTTGATACAAATATGTTATCATGGTTTGATTCAGATGATAATAGTTAATTATGTGCCCCAGGTGTTTGGAGGAACTAGTCATATGGAAGTTGTAGAAATTGCTACTTTCCCTGTCTCGAATGCTCCAATAACAACTATTCTAAATGCTTTACTTGTGATTTTGGCTACTTTTATCGAGGCCAATATTCTTGTGCAAAATAAGATTGTCCTAAGGGCTAATACTTTAATGATTTAAAGAAATAGTGTGAAGTTTGTCCTTTTCCATGTTCTTCCTGTAATATCAATGGCAAGTGCACTTATTGCTAATCTGGATACAAATATGTTGAGAATATGAGCTGTATTTTAGCAACAAATCCATGTCCTGTAAATACTTATAAGGATCCTAGCTTCCCAATTTGTTGAAACTGTTCTCAAGGATGCCAAGCATGTAATGGAAGCACCACATGCAGCAAATGTTTAAGTGGATATTTTTTATCCAATGGCAGCTGTGTACTTAATTAATGTGATAACAAATAGATATCCGGAAAAACAAATAACTGCATCAATTGTCCAAAAGATTGTGAATAATGCAATTCAACTTCTTGTATTAAATGTGTAAATAATACCTATCTCAACTCATCCACAGGTAAATGTGTAAGTACTTGTGCAGATGGGTTTTATGCAAATAATCAAAGTTCTTCCTGTTTAAAGTGCTAATCAAATTGCCTATAGTGTAAAGAAAACAATTATACCTGTACTTAATGTGATAGCACGACCTACTTATTCAATAATAAATGCGTTAAAAACTGTCCAATGCTAGGCTTTTTCCAAGATCCTAGTAAAAGATTATGTGTAAATTGTGATTCTTTATGTACAATGTGCAGCTCAAATGCAACAGATTGTATCGCATGTAAACCCGGTAGTCTGTATTCCAATCGAAAATGCCTGAATAGCTGTGGACTTAGGGAATATGCATCAAGTGAGGGCTTTTGTTATCCATGTGATGTGAGCTGCAATGTTTGCTATGGCTCATTAAATTCATTGTGTACAAAGTGTAATATTGGTTTCTTTCAAAAGGAGAACACATGTTTAGAAGTATGTCCTGCTAAATATTATCCTGAACTTGCTACTTAAAAATGCGAGAAATGCAAGTTCTATTGTGATCAATGCAAAACTAAAGACACTTGCTAGTCATGCTAACCTGGCTTTATTCCAACTAAAACCAATTGTACAGGAGAGTACTTTATGAAAACAGGAGAAAATAAATCTTTAAGTGTACAATTTAATGAAGCTTAGATACCTTCATTATATAATCCTTTAGAAATAACTGCGGAGATTTGGTTCAGAGGAGACAATATGTTAGGTGCTAATCCTGAAGTAATATTAGGAATGACACCTTATAAACTGAGAAAAAAAGCAGGCTCAAATTCTATTCACATCAACTTCTAGACAACTTTTACCTTCTGTGAAACAAACGAAACTTTAGATGATTAAAAATGGTATCATTTTGCCTTTGCTATTTCTGAAAAGCTTCTCAATATTTCATGCTACCTCGATGGAAATTAGTTCTCAATTGGGTAAAATTCAAGAGTCGTTATTGCTATGGACGTGATTAAACCTACTGAGTTAGTCTTTGGTAGTTCTAAGACTCTTTTAGGGTAGGAAAAAAACTTTAATGGATATATTAAAGAATTTAGACTTTGGAAGAAATATAGGTCAGACTTTGAAATTAAGCACTTGAGATATGTGACATTTTTAGTTCCATCTACGGATTTAATCGCTTATTGGAAGTTAAATGAGAAAAATGATGGTACAGTCTCTATGTTTAAAGATAGTAGTATACCTGGGACTAATAATCAGGACTCAATGATATCGATTGAACCAAATATTATTTAAGATCTAGTAGAATTCAAGGAAGTCTATCATTTAATTTGTTCAGATGGTTTCTACTAAAAATTTAATATAACTGCAGGGTATTATTAATGCTACAGCTGCGATCCATTGTGCAAGAACTGTATAGGACCACTCAATACTCAATGTTCAGAATGTTATCCTCCTTTTAAGCTGCTATAAGAGGAAATGACCTGCCAAATTATTGAATCTTGTCCTCAAGGATACTACATGGACCCTGAGAATGGGCTCTGCTTCAAATGCCAATAATTCTGTGATATTTGTACAAATTCCCCAACAAACTGTTCAATTTGCAAAAAAGGCACATTCCATGAATACTTAGGAACAGGATGTGTTGATAATTGCCCTAATGATATGTATGGAAACTATCAAACCTAACTTTGCTACTAAAATCCAACAGTTGATTGGATTACTCCACTCTCAGATACATAATTTTTATTTGGAGAATTTATTGAAGTTAGAGGAAATTTCACATTACTAAATAATGAGCCTAGATCAACTTACACTTATGGATGGAAGGTTTTAAGAGTAGATGGAGATGTAGATATTTCTTTTGATGCTGTTAAACCATATTTTGAAACTGATATTAGGATAATGCATTTGGATAATAATATTCTTTAGCCCTATAACTATTATAGAATAACCTTATATGTTAAAGGCGATACAACTAAATACAAAAATCTATACTCGTATCTTACTATTCAAATTTATTTAGGATCAGCACCTAAAAATGGCAAGTGTATAGTTTCTCCAATCCAAGGAATTGCTACAGTTACAAATTTTAATATTACCTAGAAAGGCTGGGAAGACACGGAATTAATTACTCAATATTAGTACTTTTTTTCGTTCGATAATGGCTAAATTTATTTGCCAATAGACACTGAGGAGAGAATATAATTATCGATATAGTACAAATTCAATCCAATTTATCAAAAATTTGCTGAAATTAGAATAATGTGTAGAGCAACAAATATTAAGGGATTTTCAAGCTAGACTTCTACTATGGTAATCATTGAGAAGAAATCAAACTCTGATGCTGAAAAAGATCTTGGTAACATGAATACAGTATTTGCTTCGACAGAAACTGAAATTCTATTAATGATTAAGTAATTAAACCTTATAAGTTAATTTCTTGGAAATTTGAAAGTATCTGATACTTAAGTATTTGATCCAAAGATTGAAGAATCACAATGTATTCCTGATATATGCAATCTTAATGGTGCTTGTGTATTCTTACCATATATAAAGAAATATTATTGCAACTGCACAGAAAACTTTGGTGGATAGAATTGTAGCTTCTCTAATAAAACTCAAATATCGATGATAAAAACAAATTCAATGAAGCTAGGCCAGTTATATGATACTTTGACTGATAAATAATATGAATTCGAGTTCCTGATATTAGCTACAACTTTTAGAAGTATGATAAGCAATATACAATTAGAAATCATAATTAGCATTTTGAATGATAAATTAGCTTAATCAGGAGACTAAGCTTTAGGAGATAAAGAATTATAAATCTATCTAAATATAGTATCAAATCTTTTGGAATATCTTGAAGAGCAGATCATAATAAGCAATATCACTGAAAACCTGTAAAATGATCCCATAAAGTTAAATTAGTACAAAGATTAGCTAGACTCAATTCTATAGATATTCAACATTTTAAGGTAAAATACTCTTTAATAAATCAGTATGTTATTGCCAGAGAAATAATTTACCTCAAGAATGATTTCTTATAAACAATCACTCATTTCAAAAGAAACATTACTATCCTATTAAGCTACTTAGAGTACATCTAGAAGATCAACTACATATATTAAAGTTTCTGAAATAAATTATGAAGATGCAAATGTAGAACTTGAAAATGACTTCATTATAGAGGCTATTGAATATGCCTTAAACCCTTATCAAATCATAAATACCTTTAATTTGTCAAACAACATTTTTGAAGTAACAATGTATAATGCTTCGGATAAAGCCAAAGCAAATATCAAAGATCTTAAGAATGGATTTCAAATATTTTTCCCTTTTCAAGATAACGGAAATTTGACTTAATTTGCCAAAGATTATAACTCTCTAAGTCCCTTCAAGGCAAAACAAAAATTCAAGAGAGATTCAATGATTGAATCAAGTCATATCAAATGTACATATTGGAATGGTACATTTTGGTCTAACAGTGGATGTATATTCTTAGGCTTTGAAAATACTCACATTAAATGTGGATGCAATCACCTTACAGCCATATCTCCGACATTTATCACTCCAAGAGCTATATCAACAGGAGTTGAAGTATTTATAAATAGGTTCATAAAATCAGCAGAAAAAAAAGTTGGAAATATTGAGCTAGGTGAACTTCTCGTTCCTTTTGGATAGTACTTCTCTAATCTTTAAGAGCTTCTCTAGCATAAAACACCTAATCCAATCAGTTTTATCTTCAAGCCAGGTCCTTATATCGTGATCTTCTTTTGGTTTATGTACATATCAAGTATTGTATATTACTCTGGGAGCGACAGATTAAAACGAAACAAAATGACCAAATCTTAAAACAGAATAGACTTAGCTGAAATAAGTGATGATCAAATTCAATGTCTTAATAATGTTATAAAGGATCTAATGGCCAAAGACAAATCTCGAAAAGTTAAAAATACAATTAGCGAATCTAGCCCTGAGAAATAATAAACAAAAAATGACTCACCTTTTAAATACAATATGAATAATGTATCTGAGGGTTATGATCATTATAAATCTGATGTTAATATGCAAACTTGCACATTTGATAACGCAGAGCAGGCTAATAGAAGTTTCTAGGCTTGTAAAGGTATTCTAACCACCTAATTTAACAATAATCTTAGTAATGAAGAGTTGGAAATTTACAAAAAGAGAGCTAGGAAGAGAATATTTGGAAGAGTAGGTGATGTCAATGAAAGAGCAAGAAGAGTATATAAGGACATTTTTCACCATAATTAATATACTCCAGAAAATAAGATGAAATTTTTCAATGAAGCTCTAAGAAGCAATCTTTGGTTTGGTTTGATGGCTAAAACCAGCAAGATTGCTCCAAGACATGTAAGGTTAACTCTACTCTATCTTCACATTTCAATCCAGCTTCTGGTAATGACATTTTCTTACTTGTTTGCTTACTAAGACAAATTGGCTGTTTGGATTGATTTTTCAATGATCTCTACCCTGGCCATTTGTTCATTGCCTTTGATGGTCTCTTGGATTTTAGCTTTTCCTGTTGCGCTTATTTTCAGGATGCCAATGGATGTAAGAAGATAAATATAAGGAGTAAGAGCCAAAAAGCTTAATAAGGTATTCTAAAACTTAGAAAATTAGATGGGATGTAGATATGCCATAGGCTACTCAATTAGCTTCACCTTTTTTATAATGATGACGATTCTTGTGATTTTTTTAAACTATGTTTACCCTACTGACTACTGCATGAATTGGTTTATAATGGTATTCGTTTTATTTATTATGGATATGCTAGTGTATACATTTGCTTTTGCAGGTTTATAACTAATCAATATTATTATATCAGTAAAATTTAAGCCGTTCTACCATGTTTGGGCGACGTTAGAAATAATCAGGTATTATAAGAATTTACGAGGCTGATGGTATTTATTTTAAGTTATAATGTTATTGATTTTTTATAATTATAATATTATTTAATAATATTTTAATTACCAAAAATTTCCTTTGAAACTTCTCGTGGGGTTTTGGGGTTTTGGGG